CCCTGTGTGAGTTCTCTGTAAAATAGTCTTTTAGGCAAGCGTACGTTTGGCATTCGAACAACGTGGCCAGCCCACGATAGTTGCACTCTCTGCAGTAGAGGTTGAATGCCTGGCAGGTTATCTTGGGAAGGGACCTCAGTGTCTGGTATCTGACCCTGCCAGGTGACCTTCAGAATCTTCCTGAGACAATTCAAATGGAAGTGATTCAGTTTCCTGGCATGGGGCTGGTAGACTGGCCAGGTTTTACGGGTATACAACAAGGTCAACACAAATCAGCCAGCACCACACCACAGCAAATGAAGCTTTGAATGCTGTGGATGAGTTCACTTACCTTGGCAGTATACTCTCCAGGGATGTACGCATTGACAGTGAGGTGGACGCAGGCATTGCCAGAGCTAGCTCAGTGTTTGGGAGGCTCTGAAGGAAAGTGTGGGAGAGAAGAGGAATTAGACTGACTACCAAAGCGAAGGTCTACAGAGCCGTGGTACTGACCTCGTTGTTATCCTTTGTGTACTCATCACTTAGCATAGTACCTGCACATAGTAGGCACTTAATGAATGCATGTTAACTTTACACAACTGTCAGAAAGGTGGGTGACATGCTTCAACATTGGTCCTCTGGAATTCTGGTTGGTCATTGCATTGATCAGAGCTCCTAAGTCTTCAAAAGTTGTTTATCTTCACAGTGTTGTTGTGATACAATTTGTTCTCTGGGTTATGCTCACTTCACTGTATCATTTCATGCAAATCTTCCCAGGTTTCTCTGAAACCATCCACTTCATCATTCCTTATAATTGTATTATATGGCATTCCTATACCATACCTTGTTTAACTGTTTTCCAGTTGATAAACTTCTCCTTAGCTTCTGGTTCTTTGCCACTATGAAAAAGGTAGCTGTATATATTTTTGTGCATATGGGACATTTTCCTTTTTCTTTGATCTCTTTGGGCTGTGGGCTGGGTAGTGGTATTACGGAGTCAAATGTTCAGTAGCTTTTGGGGCGTCATTCCAGCTTGTTAACAAGAATGACCAGACCAATTTACTGGTTTGCCCAGAAGTGCTTCAGTGTGTCTACTTTTCTGTTGTTTGAACTGATCTCAGGGTTATCGGGTGGAACCTCAGAGTTCCTTGGATGTGTGTCCCTCTACGTATTGGTGATGTAGAACATTTGTTCACGTGGCTATTGATGGCTGGATGTCTTCTTTAGAAAACTGCCCATTCAGATTCTTTGACTGCTTATCAGCTGGGGAATTACTATAAATCTGAGGCTGTTTCTTATGTCTTTGAAATGAAAGAAACTTGTAGAAAAGCTTTCTTCCCCTCATTTACCTGTTTCACTTCTAATGGTTAGGAAAATCCCTTTTTTCTCTCACATGATCAGAATTTTCTGTTATAACTTCTGTGATTCTCTCTATGCTTTGTTTGGTCATGAGCTCTTCTAGATCTGAAAGGCATTTTTTCAGAATTCCTCTAATTTATGTTCCCTTTAATGTCTAGTCATCTATTCATTTGGGACTTGCCTTGATATATGGTGAAAGATGCCGGTCTCTATCTAGTTTCTGCCAGATTGCTTTTCAGTTTTCCCAGCAGTTTTTGTTGAAGGATGAATTCTCACCCCAGGAAGTTGGGTTTTGGGGTTTATCAAACACTGTTGTAGTGTTCATTTGATTCTCTATGTTGTCTGCTTAATCAGTTCCACTGATGGAACTCTTTATTTCTTTACCAGCACCAGATTGTTTTAATGATGACTGTTTTATACAATAGTTTGAGATCTGGTGTGGCTAGCCCTTTTTCCTTTCTGCTTTTAAAAATTTTCCTTGAAATTCTTGGCCTTTTGTTCTTCCAGATGAATTTTGTTATTTTTTTTTTTCTAGCTCTGTAAAATCATGCTTTGGGGATAGTTTGGTTGGCTTGGCATTGAATAGTTAAGTTAATTTAGGTAGTATTGTCATTTTCATTCCATTGGTCTAGCCTTCCCATGAACAACTAATATTTATCCAACTATTTAGTTCTGTCTTTATTTCCCTAAAGAGTATTTTCCAGCTATGTTCATATAATTCCTATAAGTTTGATCAGCGCTTTTCATGGTCTAATTCTGAGGCTCCTTTTCCTTCCTCTTAGTTGTTACCTCATTCACCCAGCAGCCTGGCAACCGCCCACACAGGTGCGGCAGCCACAGCCACACCCACAGAAGACCCAGAAAAGAAAGTTCTTGCTACCAAAGTCCTTGGCCCTGTCAAATGGTGCAATGTGACAAGCTGATAGAATTTTAAGAAATTAAATTTTACCTTTTTACATCATGATAGTTTTCCTCAGTATCCCCCCACAAGAGCCTCCCCTCTAACAGAGCATTTTTTTAACCAAAAAGAAACAAAAAGAGGAAAAAAACCAGTACGACTGATCATTGAAAAAGTCTGAAAACATGCAGCGTGTACCACTTGTGGATCCCACCTCCATAAAGCCTCCTCATTAGTCTTTTCCCTTCAATTTTTCCCCCAAGGAAAGCTCTGATCATGTCACTCCTTAGCTCAAAAACCTTTCCTTGGCTCCCTATTGCTCACAGAACATAGTCCAAACTCTTGAGCAGCATGCTGTGAGGGCCCTCATGATCTGAACCAAAGTGCACGCATGTGTGTGTGGGGGAGGGGAAGTGTGTAAGAAAACCAGAAAGTTAGTAAGGAGAGCCTTAAATGCCAAACCGAGATCATATCGGAGCCTGGACACAGTAGGGAGCTAGTGGTGTTTACTGAAGAGTGGGATTGATCTGATTGGACCTGGGCTTTTGGAGAATCGTTTTGGCAGTGGTGTGGAGGAGGGGCTAGACAGGGTGATCGGCCCTCAGGTGTTGGCAGTGGTAAAGGCCAGAGATGGGGGGAGCCCCGAGCTCTAGTGGTGACTGTGTGAGAGGGAAGAGAGCAACGTTTCTGGGATGTACTCGTAGAAACTGCATGATGTGGCAGCTGATTGAGTCAGCCAGGGTTCGAACAGGTGGAGTGAATGAGGGTTAAGTTGACCCTGAGTTTGGAATCCTGGCAGGTAGCATGGGGGACAGTTCCTTAGGTTTTGGAAATATTTTTAGAATGAGTCGTTTCCTTTCTCAGCTTGCAGTTATGATCCAGGAGTCTGTATTTCTAACTGCTTGAAAAGCTGATGTGAAATTGGATAGCTGCCTGTCTTATTGAATTCCACGGGGGGCCAGAACGTAGATCGCGTGGATTTGGGGAGTCAGCGCTCTTTTTCCTGCTCTTCTTTGATGCAGAATTAGAAAGACCGTCTTCAGTAGCAATTTTGGCTCCTAACCTAAGAGGATGAAGCCTTCTTTCAGAGAACAGAAGAGCTTCAGTGGTCCCACTTGTAAACCTTTTTTTAGTTAGGAGTTGAATATAAATTCCACTTAGTAGGCTCCTGGGTCTTAGGACAGTCTTGGCCTGGGAAAGGAGGATAAATTATTTTTAAAGGAATGAAACAGGTCCTCAGGCTTATGGCAGAAGCTCATCACAGCTTACTCTCCATTGGTGGTGTGTGTGGCCAGTCATACAACTCAAAGTCACAGTGAATAGATCCCTGGACCTGGAGTCAGGAAGGCCTGAGTTTGAATCCAGCCTCAGACGCTTAACTGTGTGACTTTGGGCAGGTCATTTAACTTCTCACCCTCAGTTTTCCCATCTGTAAAATGGAATTAATAATAGTACCTACCTCAAAAGGTTGTCGTGAGGATCACATGAAATAATATTTATAAAGTGCCTTGCAAACTTTTGAGTGCTGTACAAAAAATGCCAGCTGTTATTAATAATAATAATAATAATAATTATGAAAATAAAAGTAAAATGAAAGACACCTTCCAGTCCTTGACCTATCCTGCCTACGGTGAGGACTTGCCCATCTCTTTTCCTTTCTCGCCCAGTACTATAAGCTTTACAGCTCCTCAAACACTCCTTAATGAGGAGTGATTTCTAAGCATTAGCAGGAGAGAACTTCAGTCCCTCTGCTTATCTGTGTTGGCTGAAGAGTTCAGTCAGCTGGGGTAGAGGTTGGGGCCCACCTTGGCCTTGGGCTCTTGCTGCCCTGGCTGGCTTCTCCCTCTCCACTCCCTGTCCTAGCAGCTCCGCCTTTTCCTCCGGGCTAACCGGAGAAATGCTGACTTTGCTTTCTGAGAATGGCAGCTATACTGAGAACATGCCAGGGTGTCATGTGGGGCTCCTGGTGCAGGACCCTTCTCTGCATCTGGGGCCCAGTGTTCATTCTTACCTGCCTTTTGTGTCTTATTGGGGTGGTGTGTAGATGAATGCATTTCCTGACACATCAGAAAGACTCTTAAAATTGAGGCACCAGCTAATAACCCCCAAGAGGGCTGCTTTCTAAGGTCTCATATACCCTTTAGGGTTTAATTGAAAAATATTTGAAAAATCATGTCAGTTTTTAAATGTCAGGGATCTGATCATTGCTTCTGTGACAAGTACACCAGCCTCATTCGGTGCATACAGCCTTGGCCTGGGTTGGGTGGTAGGAGAAGAAAAGCACCAGTTTGGGCATCAGAGGTCATGGGTTCAAATCCTAGCTCTGCCGTGAACTCCAAATTGCAGCCTTCCTCTAGGCCTCAGTTTCCTCATCTGTAAAATAAAGGGCCTCTGCAGTTCTTTTTTCCCAGTGCCAGGTGTGACATGAACTTAGTGGGACCCTGGGCAAGTCTCTTCCCCACGAAGGGCTTCTGTTTGCTCTGCTGTAAATGAGGGTACTTGACCCCGTGATGTCCAGGGGAGCCCTTCCAGAGTGAGCCTCCAGCGACTTGAAGATCAGACAGTTCCTGGACAGTATGTTCGTGTCGTTCCTCCTGGGGGTGGGGAAAAAGCAGGCATTGGTGTGGGTGAGCCCAGGTGACCCAGTTACTGCACATGCTCATTGACTGTGTTTCAGTTTATCAATAGCTAACCATTAGTATTGGCTTTTGCTCAAGAAAATCTCCAACTGCTTTGTAAGTTTCTTTTAAATTTTAAATTACAGGTCCACCACTAGCCCTGGCGAGACTTCTGTCAGGTGAGTAGGCTCTCCCGCACATGGTTCCCACCCAGTGATGATGCTCTTGATATCACCTGGCGCCCCTTTCCCTATTTCTTCTTCACAGGGCGGGTCTGAGTGTGTCCTCTCTGCTCTTGGCTTCCTGAAGACTTCGAGGCTAGTACAGAGCTGCCAGCTCAGGGGGAAGGCCCTAGGATCCTTCCAGTCAGAGGTTGTGGACTGCTCTGGCACATCTTCCCACTCGACAGGACTTTGCTTTCCTCTTTTGCCCAGAGAGGAGACTGACCAAACGATCCACGGCCCCAGACATGCAGTCACGGGCTTGGAGGTCAAGTCCTGGCTTGGCCTCTTTTGAGACCTTGAGTGTCACTTGAATCTGGTGGGCCTTTGTGAAGCAAGGGGGCTGGGCTAGATGATTGCTTAGGCTGCTTCCAGACCCAAGTCTCTAATCCTGAGAAATCTGTCAGGCAGATGTAGCTTGGCACAGCAGACTGAGAGCTGGGTGCAGAGCCAGGAATTCTCCCTCCAATATTTCAGGGGTGTGTGACCCTGGGCAAGTCACCTCTCCTCTGTGGGACCAGACTGCTTCTAAGGTCTCTTCCAGGCCTAGAGAGACTGGATTCACTTAGCACAGTGCCTGGCACACAGTAGGTGCTTAATAAATGTTTATTGAATGAATGACTGGCTGAATGATTTGAGGTCCTTCCGACTTGGAGATTCTCTGAGTGCCTTCCTTGGAATGGTCAACCATAAATTTAGACATTTTTGTGGGAGATGGCGTTGGTAAGAGCAGATCATCCTGCTGAAGGTAAACGAGGCGGGGCGCTTGAGCAGAGGGCGAGCACCCCGTTGGTGCGTTTCTTGTCGAGTCACGGCTGGCTCTACTCACTCCCCTTCCTTCCTGTGGCCTCGCCCTCCTCTCCCTCTCCTTGTGTGTGTTCTCGTGGGGCTCATGCTTTCTGTCAGGGAGAAGGTGTTTGATAACTTCAGGTGCGGGTGTTCTAGCGCATCTGAAGGCTTCCAGAGTCCTGGCGTGGAGAGTTTTGTGTAATGCAAAGGGAGTGAGGCCAGTGGGGAGTTTCAGGCAATCGACTGGGCAAGAGAAAGCTGTTAGTACTTGGTGGGGCCCTCCTGGCTCCTGCTAGCAGCTCTTAGAGGGCTGTCAGCCCTTCTGATCAGAGGCAAAGAATCATTTAAAGAAATTCAGAAGAGATTTTTATGTTTTGTTTTCTTTAGCCTAGATTCCCCATCACCCTTTGAAGCCCTCCCAGACTGTTAGGCTTTATAACAAAGTTTTTTTTTTTTTTTTTTCTTTAAGAAGAAGAAAAAAACAGTCAACAAAACTTATTAGGTCACTGGGTGGCTGTGCAGTGGTTAGAGCGCCAGGTCCAGAGTCAGGAAAACCTGAGTTCCAATGTGGCTTTTTGTGAACCCAGGTGAGTCATTAACCTCTGTCAGCCTTTTCTTCCTCATCTGTAAAATGGGGCCAGTAATAGCATCTACCTCTCAGGGTTATTGTAAGGATTAACTGAGTTATCTGTAAAGCACTTAGCACAGTGCCTGGCCCATACCAAGCCCTATATAAATGTTGGCCATTAAGATTATTATTAATCAACCCATTGAAAAAACTGCCCTGCCCATCCTTGTCCCCTGTCTGTCCCCTGCCTCCATTCTCCCCTCTGCAAAGGAGCTGTGGCCGGGTGTGGGGGTGGGGCAGGGAGGTTTCTGTGGAGCCAAGCCATGATTTGTGGGAATGGGCCTTTCCATCCTCCTTAGGGCTCCCATTATGTAAGCTGCTTTCCTGGCTCCACTCATGTCCCATTCTGTCATTTTGTGCCAGTCTTTGCCTGCATCTCTCTCTCTCTCTCTCTCTCTCTCTCTCTCTCTCTCTCTCTCTCTTTCCCCCTCTCTCCATCATACTTGCCATGCCTTAGTACAGCCAATATTCCTTTACTTTCATGTACCACTGTTTGCTGAGCCCCGGTCAATGGGCATCTATTTGTTTTGCCATCAGTATGTACAACTTTTCTTTTTATTAATGATTAGTGTTATCAAATCTTAAAGCTGGAGAGGACTTGAGAGATCCCCATTTTACAAATGGGAAAACTGAGGCTGAGGTGAAGTGGAACTATTTGGGGACCGAGCCCACTGATGATGGGACTGCCTTTCTCCCTTCCCAAGCATCATATTTCCGGTCCATGTCAGTACTTCAAGAAATTCCTGATCCCATGGCAGAGGTGGGGGAGCGGGCAGATCACCCACCACTCCTTTATGCTTGGCTGAAGCAGGCTCCACAAGCTGCCGCGGCCTAGAGACGTGACTCATCTGGTGGCACGTCGCTCCTCTGCACCTTGCTGTGCTCGTAGCTCATCAGGGCCCGTCTGGTTGAGTAGGAGGTGCCCAGGGTCACACCCATCCACTCAGAGGCTTTGGAGCAATCCAATGGAAAGGAGTCCCATTAGTTAGCACCTATCACTTATTAGTTATCACGATGTTACTTGGATAAACCAGTCTTAATTCACGGTCATCTCTTATTCCTAGAAAGGGCATTGTCAAAGGAATTGAAGTCTGACCTTGGCAGGATCTTCTGTCGTGGGGAGGTGTGGGCCTTGGCAGCTGGGAGAGAGTGTTTGTCTGCGTTTCCTGGTCTGTCTAAATGAAAGCAAACACTGGCCTTATTTTTTTTAGCAAATGCAAACTTGGGCAGATTCCTAAACTGCCTATTTTCTTTCTTTGTGAAAAAAAATCAGCGGAGACATTTTAAAGCTCATACTAAATTTCCCACCGTGAAGCATACAGGAGATACAGTGGGGTTACATTATGTGTAAGCATGGCAAGACCTGCTGACTGAGGGGAAACTCCATCTAGAAAAAGAACCAGCGTATGAAACAGGCCTCTTGACTTCTGTTTTAAAAGGAGAAGTGTCTCCATGATTGGTGCAGATTGAGAATGGTTCCCTGAACTCCATGGATGATCTTAGGAAGCCTCACAAAATCCATTTCCAGTGAGGAGCCTACATTTTCACCCCCCAAGATACAGGAGAGACAGAGGTGTATCTTTGAGGCACTGCCACAGTCTGACTGGGAATGAAGCTCTGGTGGCTTTCTCCATTTTCAAATAACGAGAATATAATTTTGACTAGAGTCTCAGTTGACAGCAGTCCTGTCCTCTGCCTTGAAGGCCTTCCTGTTTGAGGGGTTTGTGGAAGGCCTTTGGCCACCGTAGTCCGAGCTTTCCTTTCCTCCTTGCTGTCCTCTGAATGCTGTTTCTGCATTTTGTAACAATCCTCCAAATCCTTTATGGAGCACCAGGGCCTATTTTCTTTCAAATATAAGTCCTGGTCCCTTAGTCTTTGTATGAAAGCTTTGGCTCTGATAGCCTGAAGTCTGGTCCATGGAAGTGACACCTCTGTACAGGTGGAATGTGTCGGCAAGACAAGATCAGAATTGATAAGTGTAAAGAATCCTCCTCTACTAGGAGAAGCACGGGACTGCCTGCAATTCTGAGCTCAGCCAGTCATTTGTTAAGTCCCAGCTGTTCAGCTGCTGGGGGTGCACAGATAAAAGTGAAGCGGTCCTTGCACTCTGGGAGCTTCCATTCGAGCGAGGGAGACCTGCCCGTCTCTGAGTGGATGCCAGACATAGAACCCGGGGAATCCAGGGTAGCTGGGTAAGGAGGGCCCTGTGCCCTGGGGTGGAGGGAGACTGAAGGGCTCCATCTGGAAGGGCTTCTGGAGTTGTTCTTATTCGGAGATGCTGAGGTGAGGAGGGGGAAGAGCATGCCAGGTGTGGAGGCGGCCAGCGAGTGAGTGCAATGAAATGGAGCCATCTTTGCACCGGGTGCTCGAGGAATCGCGTGCAGACCACCTTGAAAGGGTTCTGCTTGCAGATAATAGAGGGCAAAGAGGAATGTCTGAAGGTCTTCACGATCAATAATTTGAGAAACCCAAATTCCCCAGTTTGTATTGCAAGTGGCCCAGGCACTAGAGGGAGCTGAACACGTCAGTTTGTGTGTGAAGCTTCTCCTTATAGACGTGTCTTGTGTACAGATGTGACATTGAAATTTTTGTCGAACAAGATTGGTTGTTGGGCAAACCTGTGGCGGCAGCGCCCCATTGAGAGAGATTTTCAGTACAACAGGTGGGTTTTCAAAAATGAAAGCAGTATAACGTGGGAGAATGGTAATGACCCTGAACTCACAGAGCTCTGTGGGAGTTGGTTTGAGCTATAGGCCTACAAACATCTGTTAAAAATAGGGCCCCTCTTGTGGTTTGAACATGTTTGTGTTTCACAGACAGTCCTTGGGGCAAGAAATGGAAGTAAGGAATCACAGACAGTTATCTAGTCATTGGAATGGTAATCAAGTTGATGAAAAACATTGAAAGGAAGGCTTGGGGCTTTTGGTGCCAAGATGGCGGAGTGAGGACGGAAGACCTTCCAAATTCCCCTCCAAACAACTAGAAAACTGCCTCAGAATTGATCTAGGAGCAGGCAAGCAGCTGAGCAGCAAGGCAGGAAAGGTCTGCCTCACTGGGGTAGGAGGGGAGCAGGGTCCAAGAGCAGCGGCGGCAGCTGGGGGGGCCTGCAGCAGGGCTCCAGGCCTTGGACAGTCCACCGGTGAGGTCCCACCCTCCTGTAAGCCAGCAAATCTCTAGGCAAGTGAGCAGCCTCTGCAGCTCAGTGAGGCCCCACCCCAGTGACCTCACCCTCAGCACCAGTCACCAAGCCACCATTGAGGCTTTGACCCAGTTACTGACCAGTGGTGAGGCCCTGCCCCAGGGCTGGCCAGAAGAGAAACCTTGTTTCCATGGCAACCCAGCAGCCTGGCCCCACCCCTGGGGCAGGCCAGCAACAAGATCCTCCTCTAGGACCAGTCACCAGAAAGACTATGTCACTATGGCAACCCAGCAGCCTGGCCCCACCCCCGGGGCAGGCCAGCAGCCAACCCCAGCACCCAGGAGACACCAATGAGGAGGCCCCACTCCTCAGTGCAAGCCAAAAGAGAAGCCTACCCTTCAG